AATGCCAAAGATTGGTGACACCATAGCCGATGCATGTTAGCGGCCGGCCTATTTCTACACGGCATCTGAAACCTGTACGGCACTTCTTCCCAAGTGGGTGCCTCTGAACCAATATTAGCTAATGTAGAGCATGCGAAGCTTCGTTCGTTGTGGTATAGTTGCTAACGCTAGTACAGGGGCGATGTCTTCTTCGATCATAACGTCTTAACGACACCGTAGCAGGCGCTGTGGTCGAAAAGGATCATGTGTGCAATGATTTACTGTCTATCAGAGACACTGTGAGAACCGATGTAAGTAATTTAACAATCATGGCAAAACTTACCTTACAAGATATTATTCCACATATCCAATGAACTCTATCCACTTGTGCGAAAAGGAAAACGTTCATGTTTAGCATTCAAAACGCATTTGTGATCGGCTAATACCATAACAATGCCCGACACCCGTGCGGGTGAATGAGTGCGTAACGTCCAAACAAAAGCGACGCTATCTGGCTCACTGCTTCTACACCGAATGCAGCGTAGCTATTTAAAGCTTAACGACCACCCAAGTCGTTTGAACGCATACAGCATTCTCACAGCGACTTAATGTGTTGGTTTCTGCACAGGCCTTTGCCGTGGAGTAAATGCCTGCGATGAGCGTAAGCGTTACGCGATCGAGTAGTGGGACGCACGTATGACAGAGTCCACCTGTCTTTATCTCCATGTGCACTTCTTCCCTCATGTAGAGCGTCATAGATGTCCGCCATTGGTATAGGGCTCCGAGCTCAGCCTGCAGACGACCTTCAAGCCACGCGATACGTTTTCACTTCTTCTTCTTCTTGTGGCTGCGAGGTAACGTTGAAGTAGGATTGTTGGACGAGAACCACATATCACGTGTCGTATCAACTTGTACGCAAGTGGGCTCTGACGCAGACTCTCTAAGCCAACAGAGCACTAATGTGATACAAGAGATACACGTAAGCGGGGGGTGCTTCGAGCGCGGGTTGCGGTGATTCATTGAAGTGGTCCGTCTCACTTCGACTGTGCATTGTGACTCGATCAAGTGCAAGTTCGTGCTGGCAGTGAGTGGTTCATCTCCGCTTGCGATACCCTTTCCTTCGTACCAATCTTATACGTCGGGTCTTGATCAGCAAAGCGTTCGTTCCTTGTCAGTCAAGCACGTACGACGTGACTCCAGTATGAGCTCACAAGCACCAACGCCCTAGCGATAGAGACTTCCAAAGAGCGGGTAATCCAGTCCACTTACCGTACGCGGGAAGCGCCACATAATGGAGCTCAGGTTAGAGTCGAGAGGTGGTCTGCATGTCCCCTGCATGTATTCACGGGGCTCGGTCGCTGGCCACACGTGCTCTCTTGCGAGTGTTTGTCGTGAGGTTCGACGTCTTGAGCTCGCAGATGGAGTCAAAGAAGAGCGCGACGCCGTCACGGCACGAGACCAGGACGATATCCGTACAGACGATTCTTGGCGCGTCATAAGTACCTGATAGAGACTGCCTAATCGTTCCTCGTTCTCGCTCGCTCGCTCGCTCTCTCAGTCATACGAAGCGACGGATAGCCTCAAAGGCGACGAGTTCGCTCGTCCAGATGGTTCGAGTCGGCAAAAACCGATGGACAGCCCACTCGAGGACAAAGTTTCGGGCGGCTCGATAACCGCCGACGCGTCGTGTTTCCAGGTGGCAAACGCCAACGTCCGTGTGCTAATGCGGTTTTTGCGCGTCCCTTCGCACACCAGGCGGAGCTCAGGAACTGCTGCACGTACAGTGCAGCCAGCAGTCGGTACAAAAGACGCGAGCGAATGTGTGAATGTACAGAAACTCCACTCTTCCCGTACGACATTGGCAAACGACGAGCTACGATTACCTGTCTGGCTTTAAAGTCCGATTGAGCGACTCGAAGCGCACGCCCACTCGTCTTCATTGCTGAGCTAACATACACATGAACCAGTGGCAGCGCCAGTGAGTGGAGGCGTTGGAACGCATCAGACCGTCGAGCAGTGCAATTGATAGCAGCACTCCATATCTCTGTCTCTCTCTCTCTCTCTCTCTCTCTCGTAAACAACAGCCGGCTGTCCCCTCTAGTGTTGTCTATGCTTGAGAACCTTCTCAACCCAAAGTCGATAGCGCCGCTCTTGTCGTACAGCTCATTGTTTACGGGCAGCCAGCAGCTGACATGCCCTTAACATTCCAGCGGCACACACTGATCCGCATTGAGACTCGGCCGAGCTTGACGCCCGACTGAGTCATGCCAAGTGCAGGCTCGTTTGCCGGCCTGTGGTGTCACGAGCGCACACACATCGAGCACAGCAGTGGGACAAACCACTGTCGCGTGCGTGTTTGGAAAGTGCTTGAAGACAGGCTCAAGATCGCAGCAAGCAAGCACGTGAGCGAGGCGGTTCGCGTCGTCACGCTGTCATGAGCTGAAGGATTCGAGGCGCGCCATTGTGAAGGGACACCAACGTGGCGATTCCTCACTGGCTTCGCTCACGTTGGACTGGAAGTTCGTTCAGGCACCGCCGACGACGGCACCTGCTGTACAGAACGTGGCCACCGATCTTCCTGCTGGCGTCCAGACGGAGCGCTTCTGTCTTGCTCTTCTGGTCAGCTGGGCACGGACGGATTCCCCGCCCGCACTTATTATTAATTGCATACTGAACGACCGACTTCGCGTGGTCTTCATGCCCGCGTCTTGCGGACCTTCAACTCAGCTGCGAGTGCTGACCATCTCCTTCCGCTGAAACTCAGCAGCTATTGCCGTGCTACAGACTGCTAGCGACATCATTGTCAACCCATTCGTTGGATGTTTTACTGGCCGTGGACACGCGGGCAACGACGCACACCCGAACACGGGATCTATCTCGAGATGGACAGATCTTTTGACGTAGGGGAAGAGGGGCGCCACGAGGCGTAACGAGCTGCAGCGTCTGCAGAGCTCTCTACATAGACAGCTTCTAGATGCGACGCTGAAGTAGCCTGTCGAACACACTTTCGCTGCAATCGAAGCGCTGAGAGACTTCCGGAAATAACGAGCAAGTGCCGACAATACCGTAGCGGGGACCGACCGATGTGAACAATCGAAAGCAGCGGTCGTGCGATCACATATGTGCTGCATCGATCGTATGACAGCACGAACGCCGTGTCGTCGGAGCTCCACGTTATTCACACTTGCAGTTGAACGTCCGTCCGTCCGTACGTAGCGTAAGTAAAGTTGTGTATCGCGCTGGGTTCGCAGTGTAGGTCCATGTTAGTGCGTAAGTGCGTGGACAAAGCCTCGTTACGACCAGACTACAGCGCGAGGCGTTGGTGACGCGCGCACCAGCGCCCGTCGCTCACGTGAAACAGTCGTGTTTCGCTTGCCACGTGCGTGTATGACATGTGCCGCTTTCGACTGGTAGACACGGGAAGTAATGCTCACTCGGTCGAAACGCAGTGCGTGGTAAGTAGAGGTTCGACAGTGCTCTACGGTAGTAAAAAGCGTCAACATCAACTGCAACAACGACAGCGACGGCGACTGATTCATGGCCACAAAAGAGATCAGCAGCCAAGTGGTGTGGTGCTCGGCAAACAGCGAGACGGACCTCTGTATGACAAAGTCGACAGCGATACACGATGAGCGGTGTATCCTCAGGATAAATCATGGGATGTGCCTCCCGGGTGTGCCGACCAAATTTTGGCCCCACAACGAGGCGCGAGATCGCGCGCGCGCCATAGCGTCTAACCGCTACGTCTCTAGCAGCGAAATATGTCGTTCATAGCCAAGCAAAGTCGTTGGCGTAGTTGTACTCGTTTTACACGGTTACAGCCGATGATCCCTCGTGTTGAAGCGATCTACCGCAGAGAGAGGGGGACGTGTCAGGTCAGCAGCGTGTCTGGTTCTTCAAGTCGTCGGCAGACTTGATACCCCGCACCGCTCGGCTTGTCTGCCTCGACTTCGACGCCTCCGTCTCCTTCGTTTGCACTGCCGCGTGCTTGAGTTTGTCCTTATTGACGCAGCGCTTCCTGAGTATTTGAGCAAAACTTTTACAGCGACAATGTGAGTCGCGCGATGTGTGGAATCGTAGTACACCTGCGACACGAGCGCCCGCTCGTGATTCCGGCAGCGTGTAATCGATGTGAAGTCCTGCCAAAGTGGTAGGACCGACGGCGAACTTTCCACAGCCAGAGCGCGTGCCTCGATCGTCACCCCCTGACTTCACCTTTCTATTGGTCCTACGAAGCGCAGGATCTGCTGGAGAAAAGTCGCCAACGCGCACACACGACGCACGTACGCTCTCTGGACGCGTCGTACCGTTCGACCGATCCCCGAAAGCGACTCGCGTCTGTGAAATCGAATGTTGGCGAGACAGTGTCGTGAGTCGTAGCGAAGAGAAGAGAAGAGAAGAGAAGAAGAGAGAAAGAGAAGCGAACAAAGGAGTGAAAGACCGAAAAAAGAGCTCGTGCACCTGCGACGAATGGCCCAACTACTACTACTACTACACTCCGAGTTGTGCTCTGCTTCACCGGCGCTGTAGATCGTCGGCGAATGCCGTTCCCGTTTTTTTTTCGGGGGCAGTCTTTGTCGATTCTTCCCGTTAGTAACTCCTCGTGGGGGGGGGCGCGTGTCGCATCCGCGTCTCGCAGCAGCAGTAGTACTCCCGCGGGCGTTTTGCGGGCAGATCAGAGTGATTAGTAAGTAGCAAAGGTCTCCTGCTCTCTAGAAAGTAATCGCCCGCCTCTCCACTCGCGGCCCTCCCTATCTATCTCCCGCCCCTCGTCACGTCTGCTGCGACAGAGACCGCGGCCAAAGGATTTCGTGAGGCGGCAGTAAGTGAGTGAGGTCGTTCGTGAGGCCGTTTACTGAGGCAGTGAGCGAGTGAGCAAACCCAATGGCCACTTCCACAGCTCATTCTGCATTCCGCTCAGCCTGCGCTACTACAGCAACAACAACAACAACAACAACAGCTACTACTGCTACTACTTCTCGACATAGCTCGTTCGACACCAGTCCTCCGACATCTTCCCAATGACTCAAGTAAACCTGTGCAGCGTCAGCCCCGTTGGCAGTCCCACGTGCCCGAGCGCCATTGCCTCGCCCTGGACCAAGGACGGTACTTACATTATCGAAGCCACGCGCAAGGCCCACGCGTGCTGCAAGTCGTGCGACGCCACGATCGAAGCGGGTCGCCTGCGCGTGGGCGTTGTCTACCAGCACCGCAATGGCTTTGTCTGCATCAACTGGCACCACGTCGAGTGCTATAAGGCCGTGGGCGAGATCCCACTGCAGTGTCTCGAGGGCTTTACCGACCTCGACCCCCAGCAACAAGACGTCGTCGAGAGCTACCACCAACTCGCCACGTGCAAGCCGCCCTTTCCGCTACCAAAGACGCGCAGTTGCTCAACCTGAGAGCTACTGCTGCAAGAGTGAGTGGCCGACCGACCGCATGGTGCGAGACACGTTTTGTACCATGACCCTATCGGCTAGCGCGCTCGGTCCCTCTATCGCTATCGCGCTATCGCTCGGATAGAGGCGAGGCCCCAGGTGCAGGCAGGCAGTCCTAACGGTGTACTGTATTATTTAACAAGTGCGATGCGCTAGACCCTACGCCACTCGCATGTACCACTTGCTGAAGTAAGCGTCCGGCAGCTGCAGCGTATGTAACATACACGACGGGCGATATCGGTGCGCCGTCCAAGTGCTAAATAGAAATCAAACTGAAGTGCACTTTAACGAACAATGGCGTTTTCTACGACTGCATCTGGTGAACAACTAGCGAGCAACTTCGCTAACAACAGCACACGCGACTCCAAACTCGTGCGCTTTATTCGAGCGACTACTTTGTTCCCTTGCAAGTTAGGCAGTCCCAACACGGATCCACTCGAATAGAGTCGCGCACTGCTAAAGTGGTCTGGCGCTCGGAATCGTGCAAAAGTACCGGTGCGGTATCTCCACATTCCGACGACACTCTCAACAACGCGATGCAGTCGCTGTCCGAACAAGTCACCCACACACACAATACATAGAAATCGATGCCCCAGTACCGCAAACTCGTCGACGGCTACTATCGTCATGAAAACAATTTTTTGGATCAGAGGTTGGCCCGTCGCATACTGAAGCCCCGTGTTTTTTTCCACGTATACTTTACGTCCGTGTAGCTGTCCCCACGCGTCCGACCGATCTCGTCGCGAAACTCTCTCTGTCCTAACATTAACGTGTCCATACAAAAGACAGTATACAGCCGCCCACGAAGACAAACAGAGCGTCGACTCGACTTGCCTGCAATCGCCCGCCCGCCCGCCTCGTTGCGAGCGATGGACGTGCACATGGACGAGCGCAGCAGCACCGGCAGCAGCAGCGCGTCGCACGAGGAGAAGTTCCGCGTGTACAATAGCGCGCTGCAGCACGCGGCGACGTGCGGCGAGGCCAAGTGCGAGGCGCTCAGCGGCCGCTGCCACAAGGTCAAAGCCAGCATCGACCACTTTGTGCGGTGCTACGGCCCTCGACGCAAGATTTCGCCCATTGAGAGGTGGGTGGGGGTACATGCGCCATGTACAGCACCGCATGGCTCTTGTCTTTTTTGCGCCAAAAGTCACGGTCTCATTTGTTTGTCGAATCTTTTGTTGTTATTTTTGCATCGTGTGGTTGTTCGTTGTATTTGTTTTGATGATTTGTATCCTCATTATTCTCGTCTTTTTGATCAAACGACTCATTTTGTTCTTTTGTTCTTGTTAAACTTGGTATCCTTATGATTTCGTACGTATCATTGGTATTATTCGGTACGTATGTGCGATGACGTGCGCTTGTGGGTTTGTAGCTGTGCAATGTGTTCGAAGATTTGGGGTCTGCTCTGCTTCCACGCCAAAACATGTACTGTGCCTCTGGGTCAGCGCTGTGCCGTGTCACAGTGTGACTACTTGCGGGACAAGATTGCACGTAAACGAGAGAACGACCGACGTGAGCTGCAGGACGCCAAGGCCAAGATCCAAGTCAAGTTGGAAGAGTGGCCCGTTGAGAGACGCATTGCACAGGTGGAGGCCGATCGACAGCAGGTTTTGCAGCTTATTGCGGACATTCGCGCGGAAAAGGCGCGTCAGCTGCAACAAGTGCAAGTGCAGCAGCAACAGCAGCAGCAGCAGCAGCAGCCCATGGTGTCCTGGAGCCGAGAGGGGTGAGAAAGAAGCTATGTTAATTTGGGCACTGCGCGTCGTTGTGCTCGATCATCGTCAACCTCTATCTATCTATACATCGATCTATCGATCTATCTATCATGATCTACCTCCATCTTTTTCTCGTTTTGTGAAGTTTGTGCTGAAGTTGCTACAGGCCAACGTGCGTGCGTCCTGGTTCGTATCGAAAACTTATGGATGGAGTGCTGCTTGCTTTTGTTTGTTGCTACTCTGTGTGTGCAGTTGTCTAAACGACGAGTATGGACGTTGGTCGATTACATTGCATGCGAAGATGTGGTATGGGTGACGACGTTATCTAGCGGGGCTGATTGATGTAGCTGGGTGCAGCTGTGAGAAGCGGTTTCGAGAGGAAGAAGAAGAAGGAGAAGGAGGGGGAGGAAAAGGCGAAGCAAGACTATTCGGCACAAGTGTTGCCGAAGGCAAACATAATGCGTAGATAAATTTGAGGCCGGCCGCGCCAGCAACGAAGCAAGTTGGCGAAAACGTGATATTTGCGACACTTTTGATGTCATTGCACACATGAACAATGTCGCTACGTGTAACAAGCGCCGATGGTACGATAAAAATGTCAAGTGACGGTGCTGTGAGGCAGGAGACAAGAGCAAACTATGGAAGGTGCAGTGTTTGCTGGCCAGTAGAACTGCAAAGTAAAGGGCTGTGATGCAGTTGAGCTACTGGGCCATGAAAACACGTGGACGGTTTGATCGCTGGATCGCTACGACGTGTTATGCATGAGGTGAATGCACCACCACAATGTAGGCGATGCCGTAGTTGACAACGCGACACGATCACGCGTAATGGGTATTCGAGCCATTCCAAAGAACGACCCGGACGTGTGTTGTGCACGTACCAAACTAGAGATGTCAAGGGACCGTTGACGAAGACAGTGTGATGTACGACTTCGCGGTGACGGAGTGATTGAATGGGAATCAGCTACCAAAAGTTGAGATACGACAAGTCACGGTGTCATGTTACCGTCAGTACGAAGACCGTGTCGAACTGACATCCGCAAGAGCGTCAGCAAAGAGCACGGCTCTGCAAGAACATTCTGACTTGCTGGGAGGCAGCTTGGATGCCGTATCTTCACGACGGGCTCAATCTATTGTAATAACGACGACGACGCGTGTTCATTTCCACATCACGGCTGTTTCGTCTGATCGGAAGGTGGTGGGCGATTGATCATTGCACGCAGGAGTTCCATCATTGGCGCATCGTCGATCGTTGTTGAGATATTGTATGCACGCAGACTTCAACGTGTGGAAAGCAGCCAAGCATTGGCCAACAACGGGAACAGAAAGTCAATGGGAATAGAAAGCCTATCGGTCAAGCCCTTCGGACATCAGTGATGATGCGTTCAATGAAGTGTGTGCGAACATGATATGCTCACGACAAATCAAAGGATGTGGGAATTGCTCCCCACGCTCGTACGAGGCGAGCACAATTTTTGCGCGATGCAGAGGTCAGCGCGACGAACATTTCTCGTGAATTGCCAAGTAGATGGTCCTGACAAGTGATGTCGCGTGGTCCGTCTCATCATTGTAGACGATGCTGAGACAAAGAGGTTCACGGCGCGCTGAAGGATTGAGGTCGGTCTATCCTTGATGTCCCTTTTGCTTTTCGCTGGAATAAAGTACTTGGGTGGTGCACAAGGGCGTCTTCCGTGAAGTTGTAGCGTACTAAGAGAGCATAAGCAATTACAAGATCCTGGATCCTGGTTGACTTGAGCAACAAAAGCCAAACGACTTGATGCGATCGCAAGTTTGCTACTGCAGCAGTCCTCGATGTACAGCGGAACTGGTATCGAGTCTTGACGAAGTAGCTGCGCTCTACGGCTGCGCTCTGGGCCGTAATGCCATCTTTGGGTGTGCCAAAGCATCAAGCAGTACCTGGCAGCTGCTTTTGAGTAACTTCTCATCCGTGTCTAATAGTGACCGATTGGAACCGATCATATGCCGCCATGGATATTTGACACGACCTCAAGCCTCAACATTTTCTTGGAAAGCTAGCAAAGCATCTGGAATGAGCATTGTCACTCGGCGACAGGTTGGTAGTAGAGAACGAAGTCGATTGCAGAAAGCACAGCTGCAGCATGTACACGGAACAACCTCTTGTTGCAGCATGACGTACTGATATACTGCAGTTTCGAAGTCGCGTCTCGATGATGAGTTTGAAGCGACTCACTGATCCTGCTCGCAAGCTCGTCAACATGCAAGCGACTCATTCATTCTCGACTAGTTGGTTGGTGCATCTAACTGTATCCGGTCTTTGATCGTAAAAGTGAACACTGCAAGAGATGTACGAATTGGAAGCTGTGTGACGCCCACCGCTTTGCACCTCAGGAGTCCCGGTAGTACTACCATCAGGCTTACGTGCTATGTGAGACACGATGGAGCACACTATAACTGTGCAGCAATGGCGTGAGCGAGCCTATCTTGTTCCCCATTTCACGAGCGCACCCAACTTATATCCTGATACGAACGTCTTCCGTGGTCTGCAGATTATTGACTACCCTTAGCGACGTGGCTCGCACACATGTGGCTGGTAACGGCAACTGTGTTGATGTGAAGAGTGAGCCAACATGCATAAACAACAAGCTATTCTGCCGGATTGCTATGAGTGGATACCGTCGCGTGTCGTGACCTGGTTCTGGTGGAGAATGGGTGCTCGGGCATTATACGAAGCAAGAGCGAGGGTGGTAAGGTGAAGGTGCTATCACTAAGATGAACCACAGAAGTAGACATGGAAGCAGACGTTGCAAGGACCGATTGTTATGTGCTGCACGGTGATGAAAGCATTGGAGCGACATGTTACAATGATGCACAGACGTGAAAGAGCTAAGTGTGGTACGAACGCTAGAAGTGTCGAGGCTGCCGCTTATTCGCAAAGGATCGAATCATGCGGCATCATGGTCAATATGCTGCACCCGAAATGCAAACATCTGAGCTCAGTTAAGCTTTGCCGTTTCGAGAGAACTCGTGTCTCTGTTGGAGACCCACCAAGTTAACACAAGGGCGTCAGAAATCTGCTGTGGACACTTTGCTTGTGCTTGTTAGTGTATACACAATGATGGATGAATACACACTTTGGTCGATGAAGAGTTGGTAGCTCATATCTTCTTGTTCTACGAGAGATCAGTTCATGTTTCTTCTGCTTGAGAGTGCTGTGATCATTCTTGATACAGATGGGAAGCACTAAGTAGGGTACGATTATCAGGAGCTACGTACAACCAGACAGGACGGATTGATGATTATGATTCATGATTCTCAAGCAACGAGTTGGGTCAGAAATGATGTATCTGCTTCGGTTGTAATTACTCGAACTCGATTTACACGCTGCATTGTGCCATCTCGTGATCACGAGGGGGTTCACGTTCGATGGACATGGATGTGATGCTTTTTTGTCGGAATTGATAGCCGCTTTCGAGCGCGCTCTGTTTTATACCGGAGAAGAATGTGGTGCACGTGGCATGCGTTACGATGGCTAGTTCATCATCGGCACCTTCCGAGCGTGCTCGATACATTGACGTAAGGGCAATACTACTAGGCTTGTCTCCACGTGGTACTTGTATCGCTCGGAACCCGAATCGTTCAAGCTCTGTTCATAACTTTCTTCGTCACGGTACGTTTCCACTATCTCCTGCCTTTGTGGAAGAGTAGACCAGAGTGCTGCCAATGTAGTTGAGGCATTCCTTGCTGCTGTGTTCAGCATAGTTGAGTCATCAAAACAACGTCCATCGTCAGATTCTTGTGTGGCATGCATGATGTGAAGGAAGTCTGCACCATCATTGCCCTCATCATTCTTGATAGCAAACGAACTATTAACTTGTTCCACTACTTCAACCTCTGGTTGTGCAGCTTCACTTGTTGCATGCTCCTGTCTCTATGCTCGCCGTGGTCTAGACCCCGATAACACACAAGCCCATGACCATCGTTTGACTTCTACGACCTACAAGTCAAACAGACAACTACTGCTTGGACACTGAATCACGGCGCAAAGTGATCCAAGCGGTCCACCTCGGCATCTTTTACAATTGCACTCAAGCCACTCTCTCGTCAGTCACTCTGCCCCACTGCAACTATACCAAACACTGCCTCTGCCAAGTGCAACGAGCACGAGAGCGCAAAGCAGACGGTGTAGCGCGACACCAGACAAGTAGACGGCCAAGAGAGCCCACGTCGATCCAGGTCCACACACGTACACCTGTAACCAGTCCCACTCTTGACAACACGACGACCACCAGCAAGCGACATAATAGAGTCAGTTCACCGTCTGTCATCTGTCGTCGTCGTCGCGTCGTCGTCGTCGTTGGCCAGGAGCTACGGTCCGTCGTCCTTCTCTGTATCCATCGAGACGTCGCTCTTGCCGCCCGTCTTGTGCACAAGTCGCGTCGCTTCAATGACAATGTCGTGGCTCAGCGCTTTGCACATGTCGTAGACACACAGCGCAGCGACCGACGCCCCAGTGAGCGCTTCCATCTCGACGCCCGTCTGGTGCGTCACCTGCACGCGGCACTCAATGTCAATCGCGTCGGGCGCGCGCACGTGCAGTCGCACGTGGCAGTGCTCGAGAGGCAGCGGGTGGCAGAAAGGCACGAGCGCGCTCGTCTGCTTGGCGCCCATGATCCCGGCGATCACAGCGGTCGTGACGATGGGACCTTTGGCGCTCGCCAAGTGCGACTCGGGTCCGCCCTGTTGCAGCGCCGCTAAGACCGCCGGCGGGAAGCGAACGGTCGAACGAGCAGTGGCCGAGCGGCGCGTGGCCTTTTTCGAGCCAATGTCGACCATCTGCGGGCTTCCGTCGGGACTCACGTGCGTGAACTGGTGCCATCGACCGCCAGTTGCTGACGATAAGGCGCGTGTAACTCGACCGCGGATGGTGTCCAGCATGTGGACACGGAGTGGTGCCTGAATATGGGTTCGTCCGTCTGTATGTCCGTCTGTCTGTCAGTCTGTTTGTCTGTCTGTTTGTATGTCTGTTTATCGGGTTTTGGAGGTTAGTTGGTGTGGTTGGGTCGGGGCTATTATTGTGATTTCTTGGAAGATGCGCCGATGGGAGGTGAGGGTATGGTGTAACGAACGAAAGCAGTTGAACCTGTGCGCAATAGACGACAGTTGATTGGGTGGATACAAATACCGGTAAGCAGAGATGGAGCACGCACAGGGGGTCGTGCGTGCCCCTCTCAAAGTCGTTACAACTGCCCGTCCCTGCTGATACGATTCGCTGCCTGTTCTTTTGCTCGACCTCCGCCTCCAACGTTTCAACACGCGGTGGTAAAAAGAAGCGTAAAAACGATTCAATCCGTCGCCTGCGTCGACTAAACGCACATTTAACCACAAGAAGCCAGCGGTCGTCCGCTCACTCTCTCTCTCTCTCTCGCTCTATTGCTCACTCGCCCGCGCGCTCTCACCCACGCACTGCTCCATGGCGACGGCCCACTTCGCATCGTCGGCTTCGAGCGCTGGTCCGAGTGTGGGCGGCACGAACCGGACAGCGATCCAGACGCTCTTGGGCCAATTCGACGTCCAGATCAACAGTATGAAGGACTATCCTGCGAAAGACACGATAAACGCGCTGACGATGTTGGCCGAAACGCGATTGGAGTTTGCGCCGGAGATCGTTAGTTTCTTGGAGACGAAGATCCATCGGGTACTATGTCTGTCTTTGCCACTACGTGTCGCTTTCTCTCAACAGAGCACTTTGTCTTGAATGTGTGCTCGTTCTCTCCCTCTCCTCCCCCTCTCCTCGCCCTCCCTCGCTCCCTCCCCCTCTCCTCTCTCGTTTGGGTTCTATCCTGTCTCTCGCGCCCGACTGAGTGGTCGCTATCCTGTTTTGGCGCTTTTGCTTTCGGTCGATTTTCGATGGTGGTAAAAAGACGCGACTTTTTACGTGCTTGTGCCGCCGACCTGTGATGACGAAGAGCCGTTTCGAATGAAATGTGATCACTAGTGTCGATGTTGAAGCACTGGAGTGTGTCATAGTGGGCCGAGGGAGATGGAGAGACTGCACGTTCGATCGAAGCGGCTGTCGTTGCTGTATATGTATATATGTATAGATGCTGTTGTTGCTGTTGTTGCGGTTGTAACGTACTCATTTGTGCTTTGTGTTTGTTGTTTTGTATTGTTTGTCGTGTGTCGGAACGTGCACAGGTCGCGCCGAATTGCAAACTGCCGATCTTTTACCTGACAGACTCTATCCTGAAGAACGTGCGCGGGCCGTACTTGTCGCTGTTTGCAGGCAAAATTGTACTGCTGTACTGCAATTGCGTGCGCCAGGTACGCGGGATTTGGTGCTAGAAGAGAGGAAGGGGGTCTTTTTCTGGATCTGAACTGTGACGATGTTGTGTATGTGTGCTGTATGTTGTGGCAGGTATCGGGCAAAGACCTCAAGCGCTTTATCCATGTGCTGAATACGTGGGAGACCACGCGGCTGTTTAGCAAGGAATCGATTGTGCAAATGCGCAGTGCCGCAAACCGCGCGTTGCAACAAGCCGACCCAGTAGCTCACTCTGTGCCTGCGAGTATTAATCAGGAAAAGTCATTGCTTGTACCAGCGAGTGTTGTTTCGAGTGCAAAGGTGGCGCAGCAGCAGCAGGACATGGAGCTGCGGTCGCTCCTCACGACCCTTCAGAACGACATGAGCATTCACCCGACCGAACACATGAGTCTCGAAGAAGTGCGTGCGAATAACCCCGACTATTACAACCAGCTGCTCGAGTTCCACGCTGCTTCGAAGAGTACACAAACAAGTCCACCACGAGGGCTTGGTGGTGCAGCTAGTGCATTTCCTCCAAGTGCGAAGCAGCAACAGCCTCTTTTGCAAGAAGCTGCGGCGGGCCGAGACTTTCGGTATTCAGCTGCTCCTTCTTCTGCTTGTGCTCGCGACGCACGGATGAAGACAAGCTCGGCGTCAAAACCCCGTTCGACGCATACTGGAAACGCTGGTAGTAAACGGAGTGCCAACGGTGGTGCCGGCGCCGCTGCAGCAAAGTCGTCGAATGTCGCTCATTTGATGCAATTGCTTAAGCGCAAGCAGCGCGCGCCCGCTTCACCGAAGCAACGAGCTCCCGAGATTACTAACGACGTTCCATGTGCCCCTAATGCAGCAGCTGTCATGTCTATTTTGCAGAAGCTGAAGGGAATGTCGAGCGGAGGCACTGCAACTGGAGGGCCTACACCTCAAGCGCAATCGCAGCAAGCTCGGCAGTCGCAGCCACAGCAGCAACAGCCACCACAGCAGCAGCAGCAGCAACAACGTAGTGACAATGCTTCCCGCATGTGGTTTAGCGACAAGATCGTGGCTCACAAGGATCGTGTTGAGTCCAACGTGCAAAAGCTGTACGCAGCGTTGCCGCTTGTGTGCCGCGAGAGTGGATTGCGCTTCCGTGAGCAAGCTCAATTGGACGCCCACCTGGACTTCCTCTTCAAGTACAATCGTGCGCGTAAAGAGCGAGGTAAAGGGGGCATATCACGATCATGGTACCCAGACGAAGACCAGTGGGTGGCCGATTTCTTTGGGGATACCGCACCCCGCGAGAGCACCAGCAGTAGCTTTTTCGATCGCGCGCAGCAGGAAAACGAAAAGAATGCGGGTGAACAGGCTACGTGGGAGAATGCGCGCGTACCTGTCGACGAGTCCATCACGCGCTGTCAAATTTGCGGCGAGAGCTTTGCCAAGAGCTGGGACGAAGAGGAAGAGGACTGGATGTACACTAACGCGGTGACTGGCACGATTCATAACACGGGTCCGAATGGTACGGAGGAGCAGGACACGATATTCCACAAATATTGCCACGACACAGTGCTAGCCAACTCGAAGTATGTCACTCCGGCACATCTAATTCCCACAAAGACAACTACTGCACTTAATATGGCGGTCTCCGATGATAGTATGGATGGCAGCAGTAGCGGCGTGAAGCGATCACTGGACGAGGTGCGTAACGACAGACGATTGTGGCATCGAGCGTATTCTGACCAGCGTTTGATGGATACTGCTGGTGTTGGTGTGGTTGTGGATATGTGTAGGACGACTCGGATAGCGACGGCGACGATGACGTGAAGCGAGTGAAAACTACGTGAGCTCTGGAAGCGAAGCTGCAGGAAAGAAAGAGGTGCAATGCCACGAGATGTAACGATAAAAGAGTTTGGTACTTATATTTGTTGGTGCGGTGCTCCGCCGGCGGTCAACTGCTTCAGGTTTCATATCCTCTTGCTTACTCTCCATTACTGCAGCTTCGAGCGCAAGATCTAGCACTTTTGCATTCAATACATACGACACATTTTGCATTGCGCGTGTTCAGGTCTCACATGTCAATGCACTGTATTTGATGGACCCATAGCTTCGATCATCGCTAAATGCTGCGAGTGTTCTTCTGTATGTACCCAATGTCTACCTCCAGCACAGCCACAAGAGTGTATCAAAGTTGGATGCAAGCAACAAACCACAGTTGTTTGTGTCTCTTTGCTGCCGAAAAGTTGTTGTTGTCCATACATGGCCGCAAAAGTACACTCGGCCGCTCGTGATTGGTACCATTATAGTTCCTGTAGTGCTTGTCGTTCGGATATCAAGTCGACTGACAGTCTTGATGTGCCCTAGTCATGATTCAAGTTGCTACGGTGCTTTTCGAAAGCTAATATAACGACTTCGTTTGGTTTACTAGAAACGGCAAACGAATATGGAAATTGGGTTGCCGTCTGATTATGTTGTATCGCACTTTCATAGCCTCCATCTCGTTGTATCGAACACGAAGCACCGGGGCTCAGCTTCAAGATCAGAATTAAACGCAGGTAAGGTAAGGCGGTATCGTTGCCCTCTCCACAGCACGCGATCACATGGATAATGAGGGCGACATCGCCTGATGCTTTAAGTGATGTCTTCGATTCCTGGATGCGTAACCTTATGCTTTGGCGTCCAAGCTGGCGATGTACACTGTTTGCACTCTTTCAGCATTCACACTCACCGCAGCGCTATTGTTGTCATGAATCCGTCTCTGACAAAAGCTGAAGGCACGATATCTGTTGCTAGCATTTGAAACACTGCAAAGAGTCGTGTTAACATCTTTATCCCGCGCCTCTCACAAGCGAGTATTAGCATCAGACTATGTTGTGCGTGTCCACCCAGCACTTGATGCCCGGTGCCTTGAAGTTTCTTCGCGACGTTCTACACCACATAATGACAGTATTCAAGAAACAGTTGCAAAGATGATGTGTTTGCCCTCCGTCGTGTTGTAGTCTCACACCCTGTGTCTGCTTCACTCGTAAGATCGTTGTCACGGCACGAGGTGAACATCGATTACGCCTGGCTGCTACTGCATGTGATCGTGATCAACACTCTTGTCGTCGTATTTGCACTAAAGCTTTGTGCCCTTGCAGTCCAAATTTCGGTATGTGGGCTCGTCTTATGACCATCGTCTGCAGTACTTGTACAATTGCCGGATGGCAAACGGCAGTGGTGTTTTCTGACCAGCTGATCGTGTGCGGGATGACTGTCACTTTGATACAACAGCGATGACATGCATTCAACCAGTGGTAGCTAGATTGCATTGCTGGCGGCTGTAGATCGAGTATGCTGACTGTGGACTAAAAACTGCAACTCGTTGAGCTGTAGGTTACGAAAGCGCATGACGTCTTTCGTAACTCTTAGTGAGCTAGTTCGCGCCCGCCTACAGCAAAGCATTCATGTTGCTTGTACAGCTACTGCTAACGATGAAAGTGTCGTCATACTGAGATGATCTTGTCCTCTGCTACTCTTTGCAATCGTCACCTGAGTCCTCTGATCGAAGACCAATGGGCTCGATAGACAATGGTGCTTGATTGCTATATCGCGCGCTCCATGCGCTACTTGACGACGATTGATACGATGGTACGTTGGTGCAATGATATTTTGCATATATCGACGTTGTGGATCCCTCGCCGTCGGTGAGATTTCGCAGCTCAATCGGCAGCAAGTTCTGAACCATGACAAGCATGTTGTTGACCCGGTCCGCGCTACTTACCAACTGCAAACTTGGACATTCGTAGAGATCTCCGCTCGCGCAACGTGCGTCCAGGTCACCTATCCTTTGTCGTCTAAAGAGCGATACGCACTAATCCTTGACATTGAGCGAGCAAGAAAGACAAGATCGCTATTTTGGCATCCAAAGCACTGCTCTCGCGAGGTGACACATGCAACTGCACAAACCTTTGCCAGATTGTTCCTTCGATCATTAACAGAGGCGCACGTGACTAAGATCTTTGCAATACATTTGCGCGCACGACGGGCCAAACTGCTGGAAAGTCAGGCCGAACGCTCTGTCACAATTTCAGCACCGCTTGCCATATTGGTCGATGCCCAATGTTGTGTAATGTTCGATCCGCACATCCCACTAGCGAGTAAAAGTAGGCCTCTATCTGCCTTCGAACAGTAACAAACGATTGACCTCACACCCACCCGCCCACTTTCCACTCCTCAACATTCCCAACATTCTCCTCTTTCTCCTCTACACTCTTTCTCTCTATCGACACCAAAATGCATCTCGAACACGACAACTAAGAGGCGTTCATCTCATCATCTTTGGAATCTCTTCCCATGCTCAATTGCCGCTCGTTCCCTTCACCGGACCTGCGCGTCGTCCTTGTCCATCGCCGCTACGAGCTGCTTCAACTCGTGCCACAGCCGCTCGCGCGCTTCGCCTTCGACGGCCCCATCCAATTTGGCGCTGCGCTCGTCGCCGTCTTTGGCAAACCACACGTGCGTAATGTGTGTGTCCCCCTCTGGCAGAGGCAGCGCGTGCTTGTCTTCGATCCACACGGGGGGACCTCTGGCCACGAGGCGCCGTAGCTCGGCCTTGCAGTCCGTCTCTTGCACTTTCTTCATAAACGTGTGGAACTGTGTGGCCAGCAGCTGCTCGACGACGTCCGAGCAGAAGGACGCGGCGTGCCACGACTGACTCGGGAACGTTCGAAACTCGCAGTAGTTGCCGTCTTCCTCTGTGATGTCGTCCATTGTTGCCATGCACTCGAGACCGGCTCGAGGTTTTCCGTGGGGTGTCGTCATCGATAGAAATCCGTCCGTCCGTCTGTTAGTCAGTCAGTCTGTCTCTTCGTCAGTCGCTTTGGCAGGTGGTCGTCGCTTTTTCGGATCAAGGAGAGAAAACTGACGTCTTTTGGAAGAATACCAATCTGTTTGTCTCATTTTAGTTTATGGGAAAAAAGAGGTGCAAAGGGGCTATTATAGAGAGAGAGGAGGAGAGAGGGAGGAACAGGCAGTCGATTTACACGGTACTAATGTGTACATGACCTCTAGACATTCCTAAGCCAGATTAGCAATGCCGGTGTCGAATGATCCCGTGGTTGTACGTGGCTCACCACAGGATGTGATGCTCGGGAAGGCGCAGTGCTGTCGTCGAATACCTCGATGCACTGCCATAGACGGATGCCTTGCACCCTTGAATGCAGCTTTCGGCGCTCTCGTGCCGATGACGCTCGTAATTGCCGAAGGCCATTAGCGTAAACCTCTCGGACACTCCCCTGGAGTGAAAGTTAAAGCTGCTCGTGAACAACGGTATTGCGCTGTATGCATAGAGTCGAGATAGACAGTGAGCACAAGATCCACCAAATGCGCTTCCACTGAACAATATACGCCTCCACCGTATCACCGACGGCGATTTGCAGCCGCTGTATCATTGTTCGAGATAATAGGGGCGGTCGTCTTGCCATGCAGTGCCCAGCATAATGGGCCACGTCGTCTTGCCATGCAGTGCTCGGACCCAAGCCACGAGGTCAGGACCGCCTGCCAGCAGCCTTGGGCAACGAAACATGTCCAGAAAATATGCTCGAGGTTCTCCTTCTGACCTCTACAGACGGACAGCCCCTACAGCTGTTGTTGAGTTCCCGAGCCGGGAAGAAACGGTTGAGCTGTTGGAATACCAGACGGTAATGGACCCATACTTGATACTCCGGTATCGCATTAAAATTACTGTAAGGGGGTAGCCCGTTACGTGAAATTACCAGTGTGTGAAATGGCAATAAAGAATATTAAGATGGATGTTCGTATAGCAATATCACTAATTGCAGTGATATTGTTGGGATGACCGAAGAGTCTACTCATTGTTTGATATCATGTTTACATCAACACACCAATCGCTGCTAGACGCGCGCAATAGGTGGCAAGTAGACGTCATCATACCTTTAATTATATTAATATAACTCAGTAAGCTCAAAGCAGAGAGCAAGGAATTTTGGACTTAATTATATTAAATAACAGTTTTACTTTTTCTACAACTAGAGTCCTGCCTTACTTGTTCACCCTTCATCTGTATAGTGCGATACCTAGCAGAGCCTTACCTTCACTGTTGTCAGTGAGAGTTGACCCCGCACAAGTGTTATATTACGAAGTGACAAGTTCCCCGTCCCAGTGACCCCACAGCTGTCTCGGGGTCTTGTTCAGAGCCGCAGAGTACCAATAGCCCCGGTCCTCGCATGTTTGTAACTTCTGTAGTAGACCTCTCAACGTCATGCCTATCTCCTCTTTAGTATCGCAATACGACTGGCGATTAATGTGCCTCAGAACGTGTCGATTCACGATAGTTGGCGGGTCATCCCACGGAAATCCGAGGAACAATGGATGAGCCTCGATGACAAGGCCATGAGATTGTTAAGCGCACTGGAGGGCTAATACGTCATGCTAATACTTCGCCAAAACGATAGTTGAGTCTCGACTGTCCAGTAACTTCCGTTGGACGCTTGCTTCATCATGATGCTTCTTGATGGAATAGCCGACGCCGTATACGCCACCCCACGGACCGCACCAGCTTCTACCATCACCCAGGTATAAGCTAGCCGGACGACCGGGGGGGGTCGTAAAGAGAACGTGGGAAGAACCTCACATTTCTGGGCAATATCCAACGGATGGATCCCCAATAGAATTCGCTAACGTCCAACGGCCGAGATTTCGGTCAGTATGGTGCTTGTCCACCCCCTCAGCTGAGGGAACGTGACAAACGTATGCGGTCGAACCGGTTCGGTCAATGGCAAGCTCTTTAAGTGAGCACGGCAGGATTCGGTCGTATTTCGTACGCGTCAGCCGATGACCTGTGCCATAGCATAGCCATGGGTTGTCTGTGCACCGATACACGGGCCAATTCCGTCGAAACACGGCCGATATCGCCAAAGTTACGGCAGGTAACGGTGCCGCCAACCAAATCGTCAGCCAGTCCCAATCCCGCCAGCACGCTGTCTGCGAGATGAGCCGAGGGACATGCCGACGATGCTTATCCCGGAGTGCCTCAAGTTCTACATCCGACAGCCGAAGACAAGCACAGATCTCAGCCCGGAACGACGGACCACGTACCTTGCTCCGTGGACTGCAGGCATGAAGAGGGTCATGCTGGTGATCACGATAAGGGCATCAACATGAGTAAAACGGGGCACAACCTTGCGTAAACTTAACGCAAGGGTTTCGGGTGCCCCGACAGACGTACACGAGGCGAACGAGGAAGCGGTAGGTAAGACAAAGGAAATACTGTCCTAGGTAAAAGCACAACTGTTTTATCAATATATTTAAGTCTTTTGTCCACTGTCTCTCTGTTTGACTTAGCTTAATTATGCTAATATATCTGAGTGTATGGTGAAGTCTCGTCACCACTCATTGCGCGCGTCTTGCGGCGATTGGTGGGTTGATATCATCAAGATATCACCAAAGAACAGACTCTTTGGTCGACCCTTCAATATCACCGCTTCGGTGATATTGTTCAAAGAATATTCAACTTCATATTCTTTACCGTCACGTTTCTTTAAGTGACAATTCCATGTAACGGGCTGCCCCGTTACATCACCCCCCATAACTGATAGTCACCGTGTGACTATCAAAAATATGGCGGCCACCCGTTGGTCACCATTGGGACGGGGAGCACTTGTTGGGTCCGTTCCATTCACTTTCCGCTCGATCTCGCATAGTTAACATGTCTATGCGGGGTGACTCAAGGCACACAGAGTCTGTGCCTGTGCCAGCCTCTGCGGCAGACGATTCGTCGTCTGCTGCTCTTTCTCCGCCTGCAGCAACAGGTGCTGCAGGTGCACGCGGTATTACATCGCGTGCGCATGATGACCCTGACATTGAGGTCATCTACTCTGGCGAGTCAGACACGTCTGACTCGGAAAAGCCTATAGAGGCATCGCGTTCACCTGCGGTGCCTCATTCATCCACGACACTGCCGGACGTACGGACTCGTGAGTTGCAAAACAGTCTGTTCGGCAGTGATGATGAGTCTGATAATGAGTTTGATTGCTCATCACCGCGATCAGCTCGTTCCCCTTCGCACGAGCGACTTGACGATGGTGCAAGCCATCGTTATACTGACAACTGTGGTACCGACAAAGGTACCACCGTGAAGCGTGATGAGCTGAAGCCGTGGCGTTTTCCTGAACGGCTAATCAATGGCTTGTCTCACGAGATAAGCTAACACCATCGAATTCCCTTATTCGATGCGACTGAGCTTCACGGCTTGACTCCTAGCGCGAGCAACTTTCGCGCTGAAGAAGATTTTTATCTCTATGTCTTCCTTAGACATCGATGGTACAACAGCAACCAAAAGCGTGACAAAGCCTCGCTTTTGGCTGCGTGGAACGCGTTCGTCCAAAACGTAAAGAATTTTGGACGAGAAGGGTGGCTCAAGAAACTTGAGGCGACACGCCTCAGCTTCGAAAAGCGAACGCCAACCGGTGCCACGTACCGGTTGCACTGTTTGTCGAGTGAGGAAGGCATTCCTTGCCTCACATGGGGAGACCCTTGTGCGAGTTGTGTTGACAACTCGCAGCGTGCACATAGAGACGTGTATTCCCTAAGTTCGCCCTGGGGTAGGGCACACATCTCGGAGGAGATGCGTGACGCGATTGCAAACTTGCAATCCGTCTACAAGCGCCTGGGGCGCGTGTTTACCGATGGGCCCGAGGACTCATCGGATGGGTGTCGTCATACTGGTGGACGAGACCTTCAACATCCATTAACAGCTGAGAGCGGGGCTCCCAGCTGTTCCAAGAGGGTGGGTATCCCCGCCACTGGACGAGGTAGCTCGTCCTTGATCCTGAATCGTCACGGTGATTCAAGATAAGCTACACTAGGAAGCGTTGACCACCGTGAGCATCCACCAAAGGATGTGGTGGAGGAGGAAAGACCTCCTCCAGATGATTCGATTCGCCATCTCGACCCTTACGAGATGGATCGCGCAATCGATGAATTGCGCGATGACTTGAAGCACGACCGCGACCGGCGCTACGCTTTGACTGATACCGTGCGAAAGAACCGCAAGGATCACGAGGCTAATCGGGCGAGGGATCGCGCCGATTATGCCACGGCGCAGCTTCAGGTCGAGCGGGATGTCAGCTCTCTATTCGGCGAGCTGGCGACAGCTCGCGGGGAGATATCTCGGTTAAGTTTGAGGTATCATATCTGCGCGACCAGACGGATCGTCTGGAGCGCGAACGCAAGAACTTGATGGATATTCTTGACCGTGGGGGCTATCTTAATCAGAAGAAGAAGGCTCGTACTGACAGTACGGCCTGAGTCGCCCCACGTAAAACGTAAGATGCGTGCGCATCCTACGTGGCAATCCGATCATGTATGCATTGCCCTTGCGATGCAACACTCGAAATGGCCCAATGAACTTCGGCAGTAGTTTACTACTGCCGACACTAGTGACTGCATGTCCAGGTAAGTTTACCGTAGACAGTAGTACTAGGTCGTTAACCTTAATTGAAAGAACATTTGCTCTTCCATTTTTGTCTGCGTTCCGTTTCTGGCGGTCCATCGCATTTGCGATGGAGTCCTGAACGAAACGGACTACCGCCTCTCGAGTCAGCAGGAAGATCTCTGCTGACTCTTTGTTTTGTCTTTCAGTGCGCTTCGTGCGCACTGCTAAGAGATTGTTCTCTTCTTCAGCGAGGATGTCTTCTTCCTCGCTGGCATAATCGTTGACGATGCTGAATATACCAGCATCGTCATCATCATCCGCGTCATAATAGCGTCGCCGCTATTACTGAGGTGATCTTCTTCATCGA